TATGCCACAAATCAGTTATCAAGACCCTATCTAATTTTTCCTCAACTATTGCTGGCATGCCCTTGGACTTTTCCCATGTGAACTGATAGTCCATGAAAGGAAAATCTTGAAGACCACTGTCGGCTATAGCTTCCTGAGAACTTGTTATAAGCCATTCCGAGTGCGGCAAACGTCCTCTTTTCTCCGACTAATGAAGGAGATCATTAAAATCCCCCATCACTACCCATGAAAGGGTATTCAAACCTGCAAGAGTTCGTAACAAATTCCACGAATCCCATCTTCGATGTCTTTCCGGGAATCCATAGAAACCGGTGAATCGCCAATCAGGGCTACTAATGTCAAGAACAATTGTTGCATCAATATGATTTTGCAAAAAGCTTGTGACATCAACTTCCCAACTATCCGACCAAAGAAGTGCCAAATCACCTCTCTGGCCCTGAGCATAAACTACAAGCATATTACTAAACCCAAGCTGTATATGGATTACCTCCAACTTCTACTGATTAACAAATGTTTCTATTAAAAACGCCATCTTCGACCTCATTGAGTGGATCATATTTGCTAGAACACGAACTGCCATCGGGTTGCCAAGCAGCCGGCAATTCCACGATATAATACTCGTATTTCCTTGCGGATTTGCGAAACCAAACCCGCCTATACCATGTTTTTTTGAACAAGATGTTTGGTAGTCAATGATAATAGATTAATCACCGATGTACCAGAACCTGCAGCTTCATCCTCAATCCTCCGTTTTTTCTGTTCAACACAGATGGTATCAATTTTTGAACTAACCATACCTTGTTCAATAATTGGTTCGGTACTGTTAACAACATCTTGCATGGCACCTTTATCCTTCTGCACACTAGAATTATCGTCACTACGATCAGCCTCCCCTTCATGTGCCAGTGCAATCCAATTCTTAGGTTCAATTGTTGGAGGATGACGGTTCAAGCCAGCATGCAGCCACTAGTTAGGGGCGTTCTTGTCTTTCCATCTGTTAATTGGTTTTAACCACCTTGATATTATCTTCCCGCTTTTATCCATTGTGTATAACCTTTCTCTGCTTTGTAGTCTGCAACACTCAAGATATTATTTTCCTAATAAACAAGTTCTGTTCTTCTTCTCCCTGGTTCGAATGTGAACTCCATCATGGTATCAGAGCTCTGCTCTTACGCAGCCGCCGTCTCCGGCGTTAGAGAGACAGCTCCGGCGACAACTCAAACAACTCACATCGCTTCACCTACCACTCGGTCTCCTATCCATGCAGAGGAATCTGTTTCCTCAGACGCAAAGAAGTCTTAATCTGGAGGAACTCGAGAATCCTCTATTGTTTAGCTCCACCGATCATCCCTGTGCAGTTCTGGTTAGCCCTCCGTTAACAGGAAGCTCGAACTACGGCTCTTGGAGCATCTCTATGTGCATTGTGCTCGAGGTGAAAAACAAATGGTGTAGCGTGGATGGAAGCACCACAGCTCCAGATCAAAGGCAGTTTCTAGCTTGGAGACGTTGCAAGTTAATGATATGCTCGTGGATCTTCAAATCGGTACATCCGTCGATCGCGCAGAGCATTATGCACTTAGACAAAGCCAAGTACGTCTGGATGATCTAAGGCGCAGGTTTTTGCAAAGAGACGCTCAACGAATTTCAAGTGTTCAAAATGAAATTTACAGTCTAAAGCAAGGTAACCTCTCTGTTAATGAATACTACACTAGATGCCATACTCTATGGGAGGAATTGAATACTTTGAGGCCATTACCTGTCTGTAAATGCAATCCTAGATGTGCTTGTGATCTGATTAACGAGATTAGGAACGAACGAGATGCCGATCAGCTCATTTGTTTTCTTCAGGGCCTAAATGAAGATTATAGTAGTCTGAAATCAAACGTACTTGTTCTTGATCCTTTGCCAGAGGTTTACAAGGTGTTTGTAATGGCTGAAAAGCTAGAAAGATAAATTAAACTAGCAAATCTGAGTCTAGGAAATTTGGAAATTAACCAAGCTAACACAGTGCAGAATAGCCAAGCATCTGTGTTTGATAACAATGTTACTACTGCTGCTGTGAATAACTTCAATTTTAATAAACGAGGAAACAGCGGGAACAAGAATGCCAAATGCACTTTCTGTGGAATGGTTGGGCACACCATTGATAGTGTTACAAGAAGCATGGCTACTCCCCGGGATGGGTACCAGGCTTCAAATCTAAGGGAAAACAGTTGCAAACAGTTGCTGGCATGACTAATAATGCAGGGAATGTGGGAATCAGCTCTAAGTAACTACAACAGATCATATCTCTTCTTCAGACACAAGTTGGACAACCCTCTGGTTCCACCACCACTGCAGCGGTATCCTTGATCCCTACCTTCAGTGAGACACAATCAGTGGATGAAGGCAAGTGCTCTATATCTCACATTAATTCCCTTTCAATAAATTCATCTACTTGGATTCTTGATTCTGGAGCTACGAACCATATTGTTTGTTCTCTTGAATATCTTGTTGATTATCGAGTTGTTGAGAAAACTGAAGTGAACTTACCAACCGGGCAGCGTATTCCTGTTGAGAACATAGGAAATGTTAAGATTAGTGATGATTTGTGGTTGAAAGAAGCTTTGCATATCCTTGCGTTCCAGTTCAATATTATATCAGTGAGTAAATTGCTTCAAGACACTCCTTACAAACTAATCTTCATGTATGATCAATGTGTGATTCAGGGGACTCATGGAACAGTGGCTGGTTTAGCTAGGCAAGAGAGGGCATGTCTGATCAATGTGTGATTTAGGGGACTCATGGAACAGTGGCTGGTTTAGCTAGGCAAGAGAGGGGTTTGTACATGTTGATGCAACCACCAAGTTTACCTATTAAAAGCTTTGTTTTACAGTGTACTAGTAGTGAAGTGTGGCACCAAAGATTGGGCCACTTTCCAATCAATAAACTTCACTTACTGAATAATATTCATGTCTCTAATGCTAAGAGTGTGGCATGTGATGTTTGTCACCTAGCCAAACAGAAACGGTCTCCCTTTCCACTAAGTACTACTAATTCAACAGCTAGCTTTGAGCTTCTGCACATAGACATATGGGGTCCTTTCCCTATTTCTTCCTTGAAAGGAGAACGTTATTTCTTAACTATAGTGGATGACTACTCCCAGTTTACTTGGTTGCGTTTTAATGAAAAATAAGTCTAAGGCTAAACATTTCATAAAGCAATTGCATGCCTATGCACTAACACAGTTTGGTTCTTTAATCAAAACCATCCGCAGTGATAATGGACCAGAATTTCACATGGCAGAATTCTTCACTGAAAAGGGCATCATCCACCAAAGATCGTGCGTTAACACACCACAACAAAATGTCATTGTTGAGCGCAAACACCAGCATATTCTTAATGTTGCAAGGGCCCTCCGATTTCAAACTCATCTCCCACTTGAGTTTTGGGGACATTGCGTTATGCACGCAGTTTTCATAATCAATAGAATTCCTTCTCCTACTATTGCAGGTTCAAGTCCCTTTCAGAAACTATATGGAACAGAACCGGATGTGAGCAGACTTAAGATATTTGGCTGCCTCTGCTATGCTGCTACACTATCAACTGCTAGACATAAAATGGCTCCACGAGGTAGAAAGTGTGTGTTCATTGAAATGCTGGCAGATGTGAAAGGATATTTGTTGTATGACATTGTTGAAAAATCTACCTTCATATCACGTGATGTTAGTTTTTATGAAAAGGAGTTCCCCTTTGCTGAAATTGGTGATAATTCGACTATGCCACATTCAAGTCAGTTTGAGCCATCTCTTCCTCTCATTCCAGTTGTAACCCCCATGCAGTATGAAGCAACCACAAATCATACAGAGGATAATAATTCAGCTAGTAACCAGGAGCAGAACCTCTCGGATCATAGCTCTCCTTTGCAGGACCTTGCAGATCATAGTACACCCTCATCCTTGGAGTCCAATACTCATGCAAAATGCAGTCTTAATGATGATGATAACACACAAGAAGTGTCTATTACTCCAGATGTTCCCATGCAACAACTTAGGCGCTCTTCCAGAAACAGACATGCACCAAACAGACTTCAAGACTACTATTGCCAAGTGGCCTTGACCAAAGGCTCTTCTCTTCATCTTCTATCTAAGGTTATCTCTTACAGTAACCTTGCCATGCCTCACAAGATTTTTTCCATGGCTGTCACTTTTGTTGCTGAGCCACAAAATTACAATCAAGTCGTACGCCATGATTGTTGGAAAGATGCCACGAATGCTGAAATTAGAGCTTTGCAAGAGAACAATACCTGGGAACTTACAGAGTTGCCTCCTGGGAAGACGCCTATTGGATGCAAGTGGGTGTATAAAGTCAAACTCAAAGTTGATGGCTCTATAGAACACTACAAGGCGAGGTTGGTGGCCAAAGGTTTCACTCAGCAATTAGGAGTCGACTATATTGAAACGTTTTCCCCCGTAGCCAGACTGACTATGATTCGATCCTTTCTGGCTGTTGCTGCATCCCGGGGCTGGCACATTCACCAACTCGACATCAACAATGCGTTCTTGCACGGTGATTTGGACGAGGAAGTTTATATGACTTTGCCACCCGGTTTTTAAGGAGAAAAATCAAATCAAGTGTGTAAACTTCTACGATCTCTCTACGGCTTCAAACAGGCTAGTCGACAGTGGAACGCGAAGCTTATTGCTGCATTAATGAAGGTGGGATTTCAGCAGTCTAAATCCGACCCCTCTTTATTCACAAAAGGACGTGATGCCACTTCCATTGTGCTCCTTGTATATGTCGATGACATCCTAGTTGCTAGTGCTAGCATGTCTCTAATCCAAGAACTTAAAGCTTTCCTTGATAGTGCCTTCAAGATCAAAGACTTAGGCAATCTGGGCTATTTTCTGGGGATAGAGGCATGCTAGACTGAAGATGGATTGAACTTATGTCAACGCAAGTACGCCCTAGAAATTCTTGATGAATCGGGATTTCTTCACAGCAAGCCCGTGAGTACACCAATGGTGGCAAACCTGTGTCTTACTCATGATAATAGTCCTGCTCTTAGTGATATTGGCAGCTACAGACGCCTGATAGGCAGACTATTATATCTCACCGCGACTCGACCGGACATTGCCTACACAGTTCAGCAGCTAAGTCAGTTTGTTGGTGCTCCTATTGAGGCTCATATGTCCGCTGCTCATCGCCTTCTACGTTACATCAAGAACGCTCCTGGCCAGGGGCTACATTACCCAAAGAATGGCAGTATGCAGCTTACAGTCTTTTCTGATTCAGATTGGGCGACTTGTACTGAAACAAGGAAATCAATCACTGGGTTTTGTGTGTTTCTTGGATCAGCACTCATTTCCTAGAAATCAAAGAAACAGGTTACGGTCTCCAAGTCTTCCTCCGAGGTGGAGTATCGTGCTCTTGCTACGACCGTATGTGAAGTACAATGGATTACCTCCTTGCTCCGTGATTTACAGGTTGAATTGAGCAAGCCATCACCAGTTTTTTGTGACAACAAGTCGGCCATTGCCATTGCAAGAATCACGTTTTCCATGAAAGAACCAAGCATATAGAAATTGATTGTCACATTGTTCGGGAAAGAGTAACTCAAGGTCTAGTCAAGCTCCTTTCTATTCCATCCTCAGGCCAGATTGCAGACGGGTTTACCAAGCCTTTGCCTACTACGCAGTATCAACTCTTCATCTCTAAGTTGGGCATACAAAATCTGCATGCTCCAGCTTAGGGGGGGGGGGGGGGGTGTTGGAGGATGACGGGGTGTTCCACATAGCAGCAAGGCGTGGTAATGTTGAAATGATGAACGAGATATCAAATAGGTGCCCAGATTGCTGGGAGATGCTGAATAGCAAAGGGCAAAATGTATTGCATGAAGCAATACTGAGTAAGAAAGTGAATGTGATACGACATATAGAAGAAAGCTCCGACCAATTCGAAAATCTTGTGACTCAAAAAGATGACGAGGATGGCAACACACCACTGCACCTGCTTGCCATTACTCACCGCAGCATTATGCACCAATTTATAACAGAGCGTCGTCCTATGGCTATGCTGAATTACTTTATATTCAATAAGAAACACCAAACTCCGTTTGGCATGGCGTTTTTGAAACATAAAAAGTTGGATATTGAGGACAAAAGGCTATTAGAGGTAAGTACACTTTTATTTTTTGAGTAATACTAACTCTTTTGAAGTACAAAGAATCACTGCCCCACTAGTATTCTAACGTGATCTCCCATTTGGGAGAGTCACAATTATGCCACTTGACCATATAAGATCTTTGAAAACACTATGCCACTGCACACTAATTAAATTAAATACAATTTATTTCCATATCATACATACAGGACTATATATCCTCCCCGTCACAAATTCAAGGATCACAGTGTAAGTGTCAAACTAGATCATAATATAGCAACTTTACCAACTACTATGTAGTGTAATGCCACTCTGTTACCATTTCAAATGGTGGGCACGAGTTCGAAGCACAATGATAGTCATTGATTTTTTGGGCTGAAAAAGATTAAGAAAATATTTTAATATTTGAATTAATTAATAGTTTAACCTCACATAAAATTAAATATTTGCATATTTAAAATTAAAGCAACTTAACCAAACTATTAAACTATGCTACAGGACGAGAGTATTCGCGACTTTATTCTACATAGTAGAAAATTTGCTGACCGCATGATACAAAATCCGGAACACAAAGATAATATTTCTGATGACGAGGTAAAGAAGATTGAAGGAATGATACAAAGTGGTAAAACAAGCATCGTTGTGGCAACATTGATATTAACCATGACCTTTGCAGCCAGTATTGCAGTGCTAGGAGGATACCACCAAGAAAAAGGGTACCCGTTATTGTTACGAAACGCAGCTTTTCAGGCCTTTATTATTACTAATACTATTGCTTTCCTATGCTCTTTGTCCTCCATTGTCGTTCACATTGCGTTGGTGCGTGAAGCCTCAAGTTACTCCAGGAGCTCTAAAAGTGTGGCAAGCCTGAATTATTGGCAGAGTTTATTGCTTCTTCTTTCATGTTACGGAGTAGTAATTGCGTTCATGTGTGCAATGTATGCCACTTTAGCACCTTTACGTCCTCTTGCTACTGCTGCTTTAATCTTAGGCTTCTCCATTCTCATTGTTGCTTTTTATGGTTGTGTTATTGATTATGGAAAGGCCAATCTATGAAATGTATGGTAGCCGGCCACCATATCGAAATTGTTAATTAAGGCTAGGGTTTGACCGGTGGTTTAATTGTGCAATTCTTGGTTTACCTCTACAATGGCTTTAAGAGCAGGTCAAACACACACACACAAATTGTTATGTGTATGCAACAAATTCAGAGTATACCCGACACGACACCTTTAATTTGGCCCGAGTTGGTTGTCTCCTACAAAAAATATGGATCGGAGTGAAAGAGCTAGGTCAATAGGTTTGGAGGTCTCATCCAGATGGGAGATGTTTTTTTTATCCTCTCTGTTTTGTTGATTTGTTCTTCTTTGTTTAATTATTCTATTGTTTTTCTTTTTTGGTTTTTCCATGTTCCTTATGTGTTTCTTTCTTTGTAGTTTGTACTGTGTATGTTCCCTGTTCTATGAGTTTGCAATTTCATGAGTATTATTTATTGTGAAATAAAATCCATTCATCATATCACAACAACAACAACAAAAAAAAAATTAAAGTAAAATATTAATAGTTCTTTTTTTTTTTTTTTTTGTGGATAAGAGAAACCGTGTTTGAAAGATAAAACTAATTAAACCGAATAAGAACTTCAAGACATGAATTAAGTTCATTTTTCTACATTTTGTTTATTCATCCCAATTTATACTTTGGTGATTTGGGTTGTGTATAATTTTGTGGTGTCAATATCAAATGTGGCATACCACAACAAGTTTATATGGTTTCCGGTTAGAAAACGGAAGCCATGAGAACCAGGTAATTAAAACATGAAGCCAACCTTAACAATATATATGTAATCTGTCTATTATTTATTATTGGCAGGAAATGTATGGTAAAGGACACTAGCTAGTAAACCAATAGTTATGCTATGGAACCCCAAATGTCAGTATATATTAAATCTAATACATGCGAACGGGTGGTCTCAACACGAGACAAGGAAAAACGCGACGATTTCCCTAACTGACAAGACGAACACAATGAAGTAGAATCGAAATCTAACGTACTAACAAGACCCCGGCCAGACGAGGCACAAGCAGTTAAGAGAGCAACATGGGAAACAAGAAGCTTGAAGTGAATAGAGACCCCCCGAACATGGACCCTTAAGCAGAACCGCATTGGTAACCAAATCCTTCACAACAAAACAATCAGGAAAGAATTCAAAATAGAAGATATTATCACGAGAGAAACGCTGAACATACAATAACAAACTAGACAAACGTGGAACAACAAGAATATCAGACAAACGTAAAGGTTTATACCACTAACAATTCAAGGGAGGGGCAATATATGTCACGTTTTGAAAATTGAGGGACAACATTTACACCACTAATTAATAATTCAGGGGTGATATTGATAATTGACAAATTCGTGAGGAGCATAAATTCCAATTTTCCCAATAATACATATAAAATGAGATAAAAGGGAGTATGACTCATACTTTAATTATAACTATTTTATATTGTACGCGGCAAACACTTTGTCAACAGCTAAGCAAAAAAAGTAAATGAATAGTTTACAACTTCAAATAAACGAAAATATCAAAATAATAAAAAAGAGTAAATTTCATTTTTAGTCCTCGACTATTGTAGTAATGTCATATTTAGTCATATTCTTTTTTTTTTTTGAAAATAGTCATATTCTTTTAATTTTGTCATATTACAACGCTGAATTTCATTTGATTGCCACCATTGGTCGTCCGTTAATATTTCTATTAATCTATCGTTAAAATATCACTATTGTAGTTCATTAACTATTGTGGGTTATCACATTACAATTACAAATTTATAAAGTCACTATTATAGATTCATTACACAATTATTTTAATGATGATGTATTAAAATAAATATCAATGTGAGTGTTATTTAAAAGATTTCAACAGAAAATTTTTAAAAAGTTTTGTTCCGATTTTTCGATTTCAGATAAACCCTTTGGTCTTTGGCTCCGTGCAGGCTAGCGAAGGGTTATTCCATCAGCCGGTCAGTGTTGGGTGGCAAATTATATCGTGCACCGAGGTGCATAATTGATTATGCACCGCGCATCAAAACGATGTCGTTTTGTTAGATGAAAATAAACGGCATTCGTTTTTCGCCGTTCCACACCCTTCCGCAAAAAGTAACTCTGTTATTCAGTTTCATTTCGTATATACTGCAGTTTCGGTTCAACAAAACTACAGTTTCATTTTGATATAACTACAGTTTCATTCGATATTTATAGACTCAAAAATGTGAAAATGTTATTTAATTTTATTTTATATACACTATAGTTTCATTAAAACACAACTACATGATCATTTTGATATAATTACAGCTTCATTGTACAATATACATTCAAATATGTGAAAGAGTAAATACCTAAAATGGTCCCTCGACTATAGTTAAATTCACAAATTGGTCCCCGGCTTTTGATTTCAACCAATTAAGTCCTTAACTTTCCAATTTTAACACAATTTCGTCCTCTGTTAGAGTCACCGTTTAATGGCCGTGAAATCCCAGGACAGAGTTGTAATTTCACATGTTCTCGCGTTCTCCCTTCACCTGTTACATTCCTCGTCGCAATCATTCCCTCCTGTCGAAACTACAATCAATCGCTTCTCCTTCCGCAAAGCTCCCTGTTACGCAATAACGCCGATCAGACTGGGAACTTAGGGCTCAGACGGAGCCGGCGCAACCGGGGGGACAGATCTCCGTTTAATCCGGTCATCGTTCTGCGTAATCCAGTGGAAGCAGGCGGGGACAAGGCGGAAATGGGGGGAGAACGGAGTTACGAGCTGTATTACGATGATGGAGAAAGGTCGGGGCTCCGGCCGCTGCCACTTGGCTATGTCGGAGTTTTTGATGTGGTCAGGGTTTGACCGATTGCTGGACCAGCTGGCGCAGATTGAGATAAACGGGTTCAGACGACCCGAGAACCCGTTGGCGTCAAAGTCCGCAATCGAGTCTATGCCAACTATCTAGATCGCCTCCACCCACATAAACTCCTATTCACATGCGCCGTTTGCAAAGAAACTTTCGTTCTCGGCGCAGAACCCTTCGTTTCCAAAACTGAGAGTTCAGAGATTAATTTTGAGCACACGGTTTTATCCTTCTGCCCCTATTTCTGGGGCTAATTTTTTTTTTTTTTTTTGTTTTTTTTGCAGTAATCTTAATGTTGTGTTCTTTGAAGC